TTATTTGGAGGATAAACCACTCCACACCCAAAAATATCTCCATCATTCCAAGAAAACGTTGAAAGGTTAAATTCTTCAAAACAATTCCTTATCTTAACTTCCCGTGCATTATATCTAATATAACTTTTTGCAACACAATTTGCAAGTCCAATAACTAGTAAATTATTTTCTCCTTCAATTTTACATTTAATTTCAAAATAAAATAAAGAATAATTTGTTGAATATTTTGGTTTCTCATAGGAATTTTCAGCATATATAGCAGCTATTTTATCAACTAAAGAATTTAAATATATTTTAATTAAAATTTTATATTTTCTACCTTTCCCTCTAAAATATTTAATATTTTCACAATTAATTAAATTAACAAATCCGTTTCCTTCCAAACAATTGCCATTTGGATTGTTTGTATTTATACAGTTATTTTGACAACAATTAGTATAATTATATTCATTAAAAATGGCAATATATTTCCATTTATTTTTATTTTGAACAAAGACCTATTGAAATATTATTTAAATTCTCGTTAATTAAACCAACCACTTGTTTACAATTTAATTTATTTGATTTTACCAAATCACCAATCCTGTTCTCTAACGAAGTAAACTTCTTTAAATTAAATTACAAGTCAATTCAAGTTATATAATGGCTATAAGCGCTCCCGCATTCTGTTCTAACCGGCCTATCTCATTTTAAGGAATGTTTTCCTGGCCCCTAGGAACGCTTATATATTTATAACGGGATTGACCAAGACCAATAACTAATAAATTTCCCCTGACCCACTAAATTAAAGTCTTATAATTCTTCAGTTTAGACCCCCCATTTCTTTCCTTCCTTTTTACATGTAATTCGACCCAGCTTTTCGAGCTGGGTCGAATGATACCAATCTCGGTAAGTTCTGTTAAAACCGAACGAAATTATGAAGCTGAATCAAAGCTGGAAAGCTTTTTGTGCCGCTGAAAGGGATTAATCAAGTGATTATAACTCTGTTCATTTAAATCAGATTTCATATTTGTCTAATAAATATTATAAAGCCTACAATTTTTATTTTATTTTCGAGAGACAAGTACTTCTCTTCAAGCAAAATATATTTATTTTTTAATTCATTAAGCTCCAATTGAAGATTATTTGAATTATTTTCGATTTTTGTATCATCATTGTTATTCTGAAAATTAATTTAAAATTATTATTTTTTAAATATTTGGTATTATATACAATTAATTCAAAATCCAAAATTGAAGATTCTTTCTCTGTCATTGTAGAATTCAAATTTATTTAAAAATCTAAACTTAAAAAATGTTAAACTAAAATTATATTTTTTAAACGATCACATAAATTAAAAAAATAAAATTCAATAAATGTATATAGGTATTTTATATTTGTACTTATTTAAAAATAGACAGAGAATATTACAGATTTTAAAATTAATAATGATCCAAGAAAAAGATGGCTTATTTTAAATCTAAAATGGGAAAATGTTGTGAGGAAATATATAGGTATATTGTGTTACACAAAACAACCATAGATCGGAAAGATAAAAGAATTAAATTTGAAAAAGATTAATTGTTTAATCTGAAAATATTTGAAATTAACTTGGGTTTTTTGTTTCGGTTCGGTCTGATACCGTCAACTTTACACTTGACCATCCGCTGCTATAAGAGATAATGAAAAAATAAGGATATTTCTTCCAATTTTCTGTTAATACCAAATACGAGAAGTACTAGTTAAATTTTGCCTCGTACTTTCGTGCCAAAGTACGAATACGAATTTTTGTACAAGATTATAAAAACTGTACATAAGGATACACTGTACACTGGAATGTAAAAAATAGCCATAACTTTGTTCATTTAAAAAACCAAAGTATTACATATCAAAAATTCTAATATAGTACAAAATATAAGTTAGTGTATCGGCCATGTTTTTCAAACTTTTATTGTTCCGACCTTATTATCATATTTACATAATTGCAATGGTAATTTTAAAAGAGTAATATTAAAATAAACCTGTCATTAAAATAATCTTTGATTAAATAAACCCACCAAAAAATACAAAATTCAAATTATGAATAAAATAATTTTATTGCCCCTCACAATGTTCTTTTATTTATTCATTAATGCCATCCTTATGCTGTGTTATTTTGATGGGCAATTTGATTAGAATAGTTAAGTAAAAATTCATTTAAATTAATATTATGTATATTCTCAAACTTCTTTCAAATAAATTATTTCTTTATGCTAAAGCCCCGCACTATCTATCGATCAAGATCCACAAATAATGGCTAGCCAGCGAGCTGATTGATTTTTTAACTTTAATTTTTGTTTTTTTAAATGATGCCCCCGCAATTCCTGTTTTTTGATCTGCGAACTTTTGTACATTAAACTACATAGTAGGACAGAATATTTTTTATTATTTCGAGTAGTGATTGTCAGTTTGGAATCGAAGAACCGAAGTTTTTTCGGTTAGGTTTTCGGTTCGGATCCGCATATCCGAAAATTTTCCAGGAACCGACATTGAGCTCAAATCTAAGCGTTTTTTAAATGTTTTTTTTTTCAAATTTACCCTTAAAATAAAATTTAATTTCATATACTCATTTAAGTTAACATTATTTTTATTAATCAAATGTCCAGTAAAAACTCAAAATTTTCCTGGAAACAATGTATCGATGATGAAAGATGTAAAGTATTTCCCTGTATAAAAGGTCTTTAAAATATAATTATTATATCTAATTTTGATTAATTAGGAATTCAAAATTATGGAAATACTGATTATTTTAATGCTTTAATGCAGTGCCTTGCTGGCTGTGACCGCTTTGCTGAATTTCTTCTTTGTTATGATTTTGTGGAATATGAAGAGGTGAAATAAATTTTTGGGAACAAAAGCTATTAAGAAAGTGACAATAGCACCAATGCTGTATACATTTTTGAAAAGACCGAAACTGGGAATTTGGAAAGAATCGAGATCTCAAAAATATCTATTTCAACTGGGCTCCTAGTTCGGAATCTGTTATGTCCGAGATTTGCCCACTGGCACAAAAATAACGTTTTTTTAATTTTAAGAATATCATTTTCAACTCATTTGTTAACACAATTCGGTGTATGTGGTTTAATGATCCTTCTGTTGACACTTATTTCCATAAAACTATTAGTTCTCTTGCAAACGAAAATTCACCATTTTGTCTCAGCTCGCAAAAAGTAAATGAATTAAATTTTTTATTATCATTAATTTATCATATCGAAAGGCTGTGATATTATAATTAAAAAAGTGATGACTTTCAGATAAATATTTTAGACTTTTGAGGCATAATGATAAGGAATTTACCTCAAAATATAGAGCTCCAAAATATTGCACCCAGAATATCAAAACCATATAAGGAAGTGTTTTGTCCTAAAATCTCTTCATATAAAATCCCTTCCTTTTACTAGTTAGTTAATTTATCTAGATCACTGATTCAACTAATTGTGAATTTACAACTGCCCTTGGTGTTTGTAATGAAGTAATAGCGGTTTAATGTTGTTCGAATCGGAGAACTCAATTCGAATCAGGGATGGCTCGTTGATTATTTTTAGTCCAATAGTAATTTTCGATATTTAGGGTCATATTTTGTGAGTCTCGATATTCTGTGTTAATCCAATGATAAATTTTCAATTATTTTAATTTTTTCAAATAGGATCCTCATGAATGTATGATTTGGTTATTAAACAAACTTAATCGAGTGTTTTTGAATTCTTTGGAGAGATTTTGTATTTTGGAGAATAATTACAGAAGCATTGGGAATAAGTATTTATATTCAATGTATGAGAGCAGCAAAAAAGATAAAAAATCTAATATTTTAAAATTATTTCAGTAAGTTTTGTAAAAAATTATTTATTTTTGTTTGCTACATAGGACACTTGCGGTTAAAAGTATTGCCCCAAACTGTTGGAAAAGTTTCCACCCTGAAAACCAACTAGTTTTATAATATTTATTATCCCATATGTATCTTTTTAAATTTTTCTAATTAAACAAAAATTAATTGTACTTATTTTAAAGCTAAATAATAAAGGATTATTTTTGGGAAAACAAATTAAAAATTATTTTGAAAATGATGTAATATAATGGTTTATGGGACCTATCCTCAGATGTAGTTTTTTTATCCTGCTTTTTAATTATCTATAAAATTAAGAATTAAATAAAGACTCTATAATTTTATTAAATTTAAATTTTATTTTCAGAGGCCAATTTCAAAAGAAAATTAAATGTACTGCTCCTAATTGTGGTTTTATTGATGTCTCAACAGAAACTTTTCTTTCTGTTCCACTCAAAATTCCTCTGTAAATTTATATACCTAAATTTATCATAAATTTCAGGCCACATAGACTTACTGTAAAATTTATCAGTATGAATCCAGCACGCAAAATCACTCGTTTTCAGTTTGACATTTCTGAACCTAATGTAAAAATTACGGATATAATGGAGCAAATAGACAAAACTGTGAACATCTCGACAGAAAATGTTGATATTTTATAAAAATTAAAAATAGGCTAATAATTAAAAAATACTAAAACGATTCCCTATTATCTTTCCTCTAATCTTTTTTTGAAAAAGTATATTAGTTTAAGGGGTTTTGGGAGATTTAAAGGGATATCAGTGATTGGGTTTAGGAAGGATATCAGAGGACTGATGTCCCCTAATCCCTCAGACCCCTTAATCCCACCAATCCGCTTATATCCACCGATATTCCTCCAAGTCACTGAGAAATTAATGGATCTAATCTCTTTTAATCCCCACGATATCTTTGTTAATCTCCAATACATTCTCAATCACTTCTGATCCTTTTATATCCCTCCATTGCGACTCAACTGAGGCTCTGAAAACGCAATCCCAAAAACAACTAAAAATTTTATCAGGAGACCATTTTAGAGTGGTGGGGTCTATGTTAAGATAGGTCTATGTAGAGGAAATATAATATTTTGTCTTTTTTTTGGAGCAATTAATATTTCAATTAAATAAAATTTATTTTTTAGATGGTTGCATGTAAAATTAAACCAAACGGACAATTATATTTAGTCCCAGAAACTAATTCAGTTCTTGAAGATGAAAATCATTTAAATAATCTTATAATTCTTCAAATAACTGGTGAAATTAATGAACAACTTTTGGAAAATAATTTAATTATTTCGGTCGTTTATTTTGTGTTTGGAAGTGTTCAAAATAGAGAAATGTAAATTCAAAAAGATTTTTTAAATACTTTTGAAATTTTTTTTAAGTTTTGGCGAGCCTTACATTACAATTTTGAATAGAGATTTAGGTTCTGGTCATTTAAGTTTTGAAATAATGAAGGAAGGAGCTTTTCTTCTTCCAAAACTTTTCTACAAAATGAATGCTGGTTTTACACTTTATTTACAAAATTCTGATGGATCTTTTTCTAGAATTGACCCTATAATCGAAAAACCTCTTTTTAATGAATATGTCAACAAGTAAACTATTTTTAAAATTTAAACAATAAAAGGAACTAAAAGTATCAGATATACACCCGTAAACTGAGTACCAGTTGAAGTTTTTTAATGCTTAATCCATTTCAAATGATTATTCGTAAGCCCTTGATAAGCGTCATCATTTTTATAATTGGATAGATCAAATCCGATCACTCATCAAAATGGTATAACCCGATAAATCCAGTTATATTTTATGTTTTTACATTTATTGTGTTATAACTTTTTGAACGAGTGATCAGACCCGATTCAACGAGTTAACAAGAAGATAGCGTTTATCGAGGGATTTCGAATGATATAAAATTCATTTGTAACAAATCAAGCATCAAAAAGTTATAACATATCAGTCGACTGGCACTCAGTTTGTGAATGTAAATATAACAGATAAATAACCAATTTAATTAATTAATTTCCAGTATTTTAAACGAAAAAGAAAATGATAAAAAAGTAATTCAAATAATTGTGGAATGGGATTTGTCTTTAAAAGAAGAATTTAAATCTAAACTTGTTAAAGAACAAATTATCGAAAATTATTCGTATATTAAGATTTTTAATTATGTTTCAAAACCTGTTCCTTTAATTACATTAATTGAAAATTTTGTTGAATCTGGTATAATTTTATTAAAAAAATTATATCAAATTTTATTAATTGTAGAACCAACGAAACTTTGGAACTGTCCAAAATGTAAGAAACCTTCTGGATCAATTCAAATTGAATTTGATCAGTTACCTGATATTCTTGTCTTTTATATAAATCGTTTTGAAAAGGTACTAAATATTTTATTTAGTGTGTAAAATTAATTTAAAAAAGACTTTCAGGGCTAGGAAATTCTAGGTTCGGGGTAGACAAGGTCGTGAGCAGGCCAATATACCACGAGGCATTGGCTTGTGGTATACCGACAACTCCCTGGCATGGTTTGATGTGCCTTGACGGGTTGTGGCTATGTGGTAATTGGCACATGGTACATTGGCCTCGATGTTCATCAAAAAATATCTCTAAAATAAGCCCACATAATATTTTCGAAAAAGGTCAATGAGTTTTTTCAAATTTATTTTAAATATTTTAGACAATAAAAAATGTTAAAAGTGTACAAATTCCGCAAGATTTGCTTGATATGAAATCCTATATTGATAATGGAGAATCTGAAAATAATAAATACGACTTGTCTTGTGTTTTGTTCGATAGCTTTGGTCAGTTTTATTACATTTAATACATTTGGACCAGAAATGGGCTGTCGTAATGCTTTCCCATTTAAAAAATTTGACGGATCAAGATTCACCGGGAAATTACTAGTTAAGGTCAGAATTTTGTGCCATACCGTACAATTCCAAAAAATATCGGCACCTATTTTTCTTTTCGATCCCTTTGTTCCTAGAAGATTTGGAATAAAATTGAAGTAAAGAGTCGATTTTCAGAACCTAAATATATAAACAATTTAAAGGTCACTACACAGCAGCTACTCGTAATTTTGTTGATGGGCATTGGCGTTTATTTAATGATACGCTAGTTCAAGAACTTTTCTTTAACAACTCTCAAAAAGAAATTTTTGAATCGGTTAATTCTTCATTGTTTTTTTATCAGCGCCAACATTCTAAGACTGCTCGTTGGTTTCCCCAAGATGTTCCAAAACAAATTTTTGGAAAATATCAAGGAAAAATAGAAAATAATATGATTGCTCTTGACAGCTTAAAAATTTGCTAAATATTTTTAAAATTAATTTTTTTACTTTTTAAATGAATAAAGGCGAATAATTGCTTAAATAGAAATATGTATCTTGTGATATTTATTTTTAATCCAGGGTATCTCTTAGGCAGTTCCATTACACCAGTGGCCGAACAAATTTAGAAAAACGTATCACAACTCATAAGTAGTGGTGCCAAGTATATGGATATAAAATCGAAAGATATGGACATAAAATATGGATATCAATTCCCTATCAATCTATTGACAAAAACAGCAAAACATTAAAAATATTAAGTTAACTATTTTTATTTACATATTAAATATTTCTTTATATCCATCCTTTAAATGATTATGAGAAAAAGTATATTGCGTAGCAGGTGTTGTCGTCGAACCATCCTTTGTCGCGTAAATTATGATAAGAAATTGCATCAATAAATGGGAGTTCAGTTTCTTCTTGATATGATTTTGCTATGGAAAAGGATTTACAAGCAACTGAGCAAAATGTTTTATGACGAATAATCGATACTGTCTTAATTGAAAATTGATCAACTAAAGATATGTTGTTTGATTTGAATTCTTCGAGTAATTCTTTCAAGCCAAGATAATATTTTTTCCTAAAATAAATTAATCTTATAAATCTTATATTATAAGTATATCAACACATTTTCATTTTTTTATTTTTAATAATTTGATCGGCTATAACTTTTTTATGATTAATCTAATCCGAATGAATTTTATCATTCAAAAGCGCTCGATAAGTTCTCTTTTTTCCATCTGGATGGATCAAGTCTGATTGCTTATTAAAGAGTTACAAGTCGATAACTTCAGGAAATCGTGGGTCTTCAAACGTAAGACCTGTATCTTTTTATTAGGTAATCGGACTTAATACATCAAGATAAATAAAGATCGCGTTTATCGAAAGCATTTGATTAATATAAGAATCATTCGGATAAGATCAATCATAAAAAAATTACCTAATATTGATCTCACCTAGTATTGAGCAGGATACTGATGTCGGAATCGAAATCTAGTAATTTAATTAATTAATAATTTTTATCTCTATTAGCACTAATTTTAAGTAATGAATACTTAAAATTTATTAAACCTACTTTAAAACATCCAGAATTTTAGGTTTAAGTTCTCCAACTTTTATTTTAAGCGATCTAGCAATAAAGGCGTTATTTTTGTTAAATCTTGTTATTACAACATTCACACCACGATGATTTAATACCAGATCACACCAATATTCAGGGCATATATTTTTTCCATTATATTGTTTTATTGCTTCTTCAGATGGGTAAATTAAAATTTGCTTTTCAATTCTAAATCACCAAATTATTTTGAAAATTAATTTAAAAATATAAACTTTTTATCCCCAATATGTTTTAAATTTTCGTATATTAAATTAAGCAGATTATTATATTGAAGATGCGAAATATCTCCGCTTCCATTGAATCTATTTATCGTATCGGAAACTATTAGCTTTTCAATTGGTCCAGACATGTTCTAAATGTTTTATTAAGAAATTAAATTTAAGAAAATTATGGTAGAGTAGCTAAGATAATAAAAAAACATTCGATAACTTATTGGACATCTAGCCAATTGGTTGATACCAAATGCAGCATACTTATGTAACACATCAATAAGGAGTCGAAAATATATTCTAAAGACATTTACCCTAGTTTTACGTTGATTTCTGGGTTTCAGATCTCGATATAGGTATACTAGAACTTCATTTCCTTTGTATTTTATATCGATATCTGTAGATATGTTTACAGGAAATTTTTGTAAATTTTCCGAGACACTCCTAATATCATAACTGGGGGTGGTCCTATATTTTCTTAATACCTATTTTTAATAAATTTCGCATTTCGTTTCTAATTTTTTAAATTTATTCACTAGAAGACTATTAAATACGATAAAAACTGTTGTGTAAATTTTATGTTTTGAAACTTGTGTGGGAGTTAAAAAAGTAAAATCCCATCCCAATTATAACCATAATATTAACTGTGATTTTCTAAGGTTTAAAATTACCAATTTTGTAGGGATGTAATTGGCCATAAACTGGGAAGTTCTGCCGACATCATTGCCTACATTAATCAAGAATTCATGATATTGTGTTAAATTAGAAGGAAACATAAATTTCCCACAAATGATGGTTGCAATAAGCTATTAAATAAAATTATTTAATAGAGTAAAGCAGCTGGGCTTGGCTATATCTATTTCTCTCCTTAATGCCGTGTTTACATAAAAAGCGTCTTGCGTTTTGCGGCAAAAATAGCATTCAAAAGAAGGAGGAGACAAAATCGCGTCTCTTTATTCAGAATGTTATTTTTGCCGCAAAACGCAAAACTCTTTTTATGTAAACACGGCATAAGCTAGAGCAAAAGGTTATTCGGCGGCTGGATGCGAACTATCATCTTCAGAATACAGGACTGATGTGTTATCCATTACACCACTACGCCTACTGCACAGCCTTAGGAATTAAATAGCTATATATATGCTTTACAATATATAAAATTATTTTAATTATTATTACCAGTCTTGAAAGCTCGATTTGAACTAGAGCTTCGAATAATGAAATTTTAATTCTATTATATTTGTTTCCGTTTATAACAGCATCTGTTAGGCATCTAAATAATATTACATTTGTTTTTAAAATAAATTTCATCGTCGAGGACCGATTAGTATTTGGGAAATTTATTTTGAAAATTTTGAGAGGCAAGAATTTCAAAGTTTTTCAAAAATTAGAAAAAACCCTCGAAAATCAAAATGTCGAAACTCTGATATCAATAGTTATTTTCATAGTTTGTTCATATAATCGAATCTGGCCTATATTAGTCAAATTCAACTCGCTATGACGAACTGCAGTAAATTGTCCGTTAAAAGAGGAAATTTTTTAATTTTGACAGGCACAAAGCTAACATGTCAAAAATAAGGTATAGGAGATTTTACTTTTGTGAAACCAACGTAAAATTTAATTAAACTTGAAAGTTTTCGACGACTTATTATAAAAATAAAATTACCTATTAGCAGGATCTGGTAATTTTTTAAGTCTTGTCAATTTATGTATATGTTCAATTGCTGATTCGAAAGTTTCAAAATCTAGATAAAAACGATAGATTTTTAAGTTTTTACTAGATTTTCGCAAGCTAAAAATGTTTTTTTATTTTAAAAACTTTGTAAAAATATTTAAAATAATAAGAAAATTAGTATACCTATTATTGTTTAATTTAATTTTTTAATGTAATTTTAATAATAATTTAACAATAAAATTCTTGTTTAGCTTTTGTTTTGATTAAGCGTCCAATGACATTTTATAAGTACTCGGTTCTTTGTGTTAGAACCTATGGTCGGTATCGTGTGTGTAGAATGACAGGTAAGTAGATCTCTTTCCCATAGATTTTGTGGTACTAGAGTGCAGAACCGGGTACTTAAAAAATATTAAAGGACGCATAAAAATGCAATTGGATGCCAAAAACGGATAATCTTTTTATTATTTAGATGGGTGAAGGTTGATTGGATGCGTAATCTGGCCTTTTTCTTTTGATCATTTATTATTTAAATAAAACTCATAATATGTAGTAAAACTTGCCATTTATAGATTGTTCAATATTTTCAAATATTTGAAAAGTTTTATAAGCGGGCATTGAGTAAATATTATTAAGGATTCCTTTAAAAATTATCAATTTATTTGTAATTAATAAAAAATTCAAAAAATTATTTTACAGAAATTTTTTAATTTCCAGACACATTTTTGTTTCAATATTCAAAAATAAATTATCAGAAATTTACTAAAAATTACTTCCAAAAACACTTAGAAATATGATTAAATTTACTTTTTTTAAGTTTCTTTTCATGGCCATCCCATACTTTAATTTTAAAACGACCCTCTAGATTTATAAAAATTTTCGTTATTTTTTCGTATACTTTAGTGTTGTCGAAGGAGCATCCAAATGTTATACGCTTTCTCATATACTAAAAAATTATCAAATTAGGTAGTAGGCTCGGGCAATGTTCCTCCTAGCCTAGCATCAGAGAGCTCTATAAGAATTATGTCCAATCCACTCTTTTGCTATTTACTGGAATGGGTATATCCTCTAAAAAATTTCCTGATTATATAACAGAGGTTGCCGAAACAGATTTTAAATGTAAAACGCGAAAGTTAATTTTAAACCGAAAGGCAAAACCCAAAATAGCCGAAAATTCGCGAAAGGCGAAACGGGCAGAAATTTATTATCCTTTATCTTGGATATGTCATATTAAATAAAAGTTTTCAGTGAGATGTCTAAACACGTAATAAATAATACATAATTCTAAGGATCAAATAATCCAATTTTGTCAAAAGTACTAATAAAAATAAACCTCAGCCATTTCCTCGATCCCATTAGTGCCAAGACAATATGCTAAAAGATCTCTTATTGCATCATTAGTCTTAGCAATTGTAGGGTCTGTGAAGTATGGGATTTTCCTGGTAAGTACATCTAATTGAATAGTTATGAACTTAAAAAATACATAATTATTTATTTAAAAATATCATAAAATAAATTGGTGCTTATCCGTTATACTCCTACAAAATGGGTAGCCGAATTTGATCGACTATAACTTTTTGATGCTTTTAATTCAATATAAATGATTTTTATATCATTTGAAATAACTTTTTAATGAGTGAACAGACTTGATCTATCGTATTAGAAAAAGATAACGCTTATCAAGGGCTTCTAAATGATAAAAGATTTATTTGAATTAGATAAGTCCAAAAAAGTTTTATGGAATAACAAAGTTCCATAAGATATTAGTTTCAGATTGATAGCAAAATCCTTTATTGTTTAATAATAAATTAATAAAATAACATTTTTTTAAAAATAAATTTTAATATACCTATTTTAAATAATCAAGTTTATTTCCACTCTATTTAATTTTAAAACCTACAGTGTCAAACTTCCAGAATTCTGCATTCATTTCTTCAGCTTCGAATCTATAAGAAATTCTTTCATCAAGTCGATTTAATTGATAATTGAAATAAAAATTCATTTTTTTGAGCGCCTTATATTCAACAGAATCTGGCTAAATAATTTAAATATATATTTAAATTTTTTCTCATTTATTCATTTTAGTTTAGAGGATTTCTCGTAATAGTAGCGTCTATTCCCTTATTTTTTTCTTCCTTAAGATGCGGATAAAAATTTGCGTAGCGAAAATACCAAGAAATGTTTCTAAAATATTGACTTATGAAAATTTTATAATATTTTTTCATCTTAAACTCTTCTGAGGCGATATTAGCTTGTCAACATCGGTATATAACTAATTTTCATTAAAATCAGTTTTTTGTACCCCTTTAATATAAGAAATTCTATTCAAATTAATTTAGAAAATTAATAATATTTAACTAAATGTTCACCTTGCCTGTAATATTTAATGAGGCGTTTAAAAATTCCCCAAAAGGGATTGCCAATTTTAAGAATTCTGCGCTTGTATCCTTTATTAATTTAAATTTTTCGGAGTAATCAACACTCGTTTCAGCCATTTTATCGAATTTATTTATAATTTCATCTACTAACTTTTGAGCTAAAATAATTTTTAATTTAAATTTAAATTAAAGCTAATTTTTACGTCTTTTTTCTAATTTTATTTCATTTTCCTCAATATAATTAGATTTAATGGCAATTAAACTATTTAATTTGTTTAGTAGGAATAAAATTAAAAATAACTTTAAAAAATATTTCATTTTTACTTGTAATTAGAAATTTATAAAAAAAACAAAAATATAAATTAATTTTATTTCAGTTGCTATAACAACAGGGATTCCATTGTTATAGAGAGATGCCATATTGCATGAAGGGCCAACAAAAAAGGATTGCCTCGGTTAATGGAAAAATAATATGATATATTTTAAATTAATGATTGTAATTATGCCAAAGATGATTTAAAAATAAATTTATTAAACAAAGTAAATGTCCAGAAGAGCCCACCCACGTGTATTTTTTATGTGATTTCCCTCAACCAAAAAAGAAAAAAAAATGAATCAATTTATCTATTTATTGAGTTTGCTGAGTTTTTTATTTAAGTATTTTATATCCGACCGCTTTGCTGAATTTCTTCTTTGTTATGATTTTGTGGTATATGAAAAAAAAACATATTACGCGGGAATGTAGACTAGGGTTATCGGTTTTGGGAAATCTTCGGATATACGGAACCGGATATGCGAATTGAAAATTTCAGATTCCTAGACATTTTTCGATTTTGTATACATACACGGAACCGTCAACTTTAATGCAAACATATTAAAGAGACAGACGGTCTAAAGGAGATGGGCTATTCAGATTTTTCTATCTAGAAAATAAAAAAACAGAATGTTAAATTTAGAAAATAAAACATTTTGATTGTAGAATTTTTATATATTTAAATTAAAAATTTTTTCTGAATGCTCTTAGATTCTTTAAAGCTTTTATTGTCTCTAAAATTTAAAGGGATTCTTTAATTAAATAGCCAGACAATTAGACTGGCTAAAAGTGCAAACACGTGTTTCTTCTCGAGGTAATGGACGTATAGACAACAATTCAAATCACGCTTCAATTAAATAAATTCTAGACAGACAATTAATTTTAATAGATTCTTAAAATAATTTATTTCCTTGTTTAAATAAAATTTTTAATATAAATTGCACTTTTATGTATATCTTTGTTGGAATCGCTATTTTTTAAAGTTTTCTTGACTTCGAGGCCAAGGTAACTTTGTAAAGATTGTATAAACAGGGAAATTTTTGGTAAGGTATGATTCTGTTTGTTAAGATTGTGTTTTAGATTTGACAATTTTGAACGAGGCTATAGCTATACAGTTTCATTATGTACATTGACATAAAAAGAAAGAAATTAATTTTTTGTCACAGTCTATCTTTAAAAAAATTTTTTCTTCAATTTTCACTAATCAACTTATCAAAATTTTTTGTTTTTATCAAGAAAACGTCAAAAATACTTATACAATTTTTGTATTTGATTATTTATATGAAATACAAAATATAAACTACCAAAAATCTTTTCCTTCGCCTAATAACCAGTTTATTTTATTCCTTTTGATTATTTAAAATAACTATGTAAATAATTTATTTACTTTACACGATAAATTTATTTTTTATTTACTTTTTTTCTGATAAATTTATTTTCTTTCTTCCCGTCTTGCCTTTTAAAAAAGTGATTAATTATTTAGGAGGCCCTTTAGACTAGACACAGAATTTAAAGTTGTATTAAGAGGAGAGATGGGAAAAGTAATGTTGAGATTTGACTGCATTTGTCCCCACCCCCCTTACTCACATCACTATTCTTGTCTTATTTGTTAGTTTTTTCTGTTTTAGTTAATGGAATTTCATAATTTTCCCTTTAAGTTTTTGATATTTTCCCATTTTTTCATCCCGATTTTTGGTCACCCTTATTATCAAGTTTTCTTCCATTTATAATCTTTAATTTGTAAAATTTTAAATTATTTATAAGCAAAATTGTATTATAAAATATCTTTATTATTGTCTTCTTATTGTAATGACTGGGAAGATTTTTGTCGTAAGTTTCCTTGTAACATACCTGATAATTTACAAATTATATTATTATATCACAGAGATTATTTTTATCAAAATTTTTCCGTTAGGTTACTGGAGCTAACAAAGGAATTGGTTATGGAATTGTTCGTGGGTTGGCTCAGCAATTAAATGGGGCTATAATTTATTTGACTGGTATCTTTGTCGATTTATTTTAAATTTTGTCTCTTTCGGTTGAAGCTTTCTTGACCTTCCTAGAGCTTTAATTCCTTTGATTGAAAGTATTCAAGCATATTTTTATTACATCTAATTACCAATATCTATTTTCTGAGAGGGGAACATTTTTCTGCAATGCAATTTTCAGCCTATAGTAAAGCGGTTGGTCCCGTTCCCCAGTGCCTCGTTGTTTAGTTGATGTTATAGGCAGAGTCGCGCACGCGCAATCATGTGTGAACTCCGCAGAGTATAGAAATAGGTGAATCGCATACAATGGGGAATATAGGGAGGAAGTGGGGGAATATATACATATTTCTCTTTTTAGCCAGAAATCCAACACTCGGTGTTGCAGCACTCCAAGATTTAGAAAAAGAATTGGGTGACAAAAAGAAAAGTCAAGTTATCTTCCATCAATTGGATATAACAGACGAGAATAGTTGCCAAAAATTGGCACAACATTTAAAAGAAAAACATGATGGTTTAGATGTTTTGATAAATAATGCTGGCTTTGCTTTTAAACAAAATGCTACAGAACATCCGAGTATTCAAGCAGATATAACTATCGGAATTAATTATTATGGAACTAAAAATATTTGTAATGCTTTAATTCCTTTGATTCGGAAAGGGGGGAGGTAATAAAAAATTATTTTAAATTTTGGTTTAGGGAAAAACTTTTTGAAAGAATAATAGGAATAAATTCGCTATGTTACAAATCAATAAAGAAATTCCAAAGAAATTCCGGATATCTCGAGATATCTATATCGAAGGTTCTGATATCCTAGCTTTTCGTTACTGATACACGAAACCGGCCAACCTTGGTATGCAAAACCCAAAATAACATAACGCAAAATAATAATGGTATAAAATAAATTTAAAAAATTAACATTATTGGTCCTTAACATAGCAATTTACATAAAAGTTTAATATTATCTTTTTATGGCAATTTGGAATGAATTTGAGTTTGGGCTGGAAAATCCCCGAATTTAATATCCGCAGATTAACTTTGCATTATGGTAGTGAAGGATGTTCGGTGAGAGTTGGGGGCCTAATAATAATCATTTTAAGATAATGATTATTATCATTATCGTGGAGCTTCACCCTTCCTAATCTAAATAATTTAGAATCGTTAATGTTTGCAGTCAAGGAGGTGTAATGAACGGAAACTATGCCAAATACAGCAAAGAATTAGTTGATCGCTTTAGAAATATTTCTGCCCTTAAAGTTTCTGATATTGACCAATTTGTCGAGGAATATAAAAAGTTTGTTGAAAATATTTAAATTGAAAAGCTTATTAATTAAGGCTTGCAAAAGAAGATAAGCGTAAAGAGGGCGGTTATCCAGGTTAAAAATATTTTTAAAAAGAAGATTAGTAACTATTGCCAAATTCTCCTCAGAATTAAAGAAAATTTCTTTTCAGACACAGCTTATGGAGTGAGTAAAGCAGCAGAAATAGCCCTTTCATTGTTACAAGCACATGAACATAAATCTAAAGGAATTACTGTTAACGCTGTAAACATAATTAAATCCTTTATTAAATCATTTCAAATTTTTAAAGTGTTGCCCAGGTTTTGTCGATACAGACATGACTAGCCACAAAGGCCACTTAACTATTGATGAGGGAGCGGACACTCCAATATGGCTGGCAACTGCTGAAGAAGTCCCAAATGGGGCGTTTGTTTATTTGCGCAAAGCTATTGAATGGCTGCACTGAATGAATTAAAAATATAAATATATGGATAAATATTACTCATTTTATTGAGATTATTTAGTGATTTTGTCTATTTATCTTCTTGATTGAAAATTTTACAAAAATTTTTAATAATTGGCCCACATCATTAATACATATTTTTTTAATTATACATAGTAGCGAAAATTTTGAGAATAGCGAAAATTTTGTAGCGAAAATTTTGAGAATTTTGGAAAATCCTTAACAAAAAATCTTCTTTTTTGATCAAAAATATTTTTGTTGTAAACCTATCCCTCTTAACCAAAAAGAGAAAAAAATGAAATAATTTATGTATTTATTGAAGGAATATTTTAAATAGGTTTAAACATCCACACAACATTTTATAGAATATTTATGCTAAATTGTATTTGTCTGGTCATTCATTTTCTTTAGAAACGATTAATTTAAAAACTTTTGACAGAAACTCTGATGAGTTTTATTTGAATATTTTGAATTTACCCAACTTTCTCTGTTTAATTTTCCCCCACTAAATATTCACACAACATGAATACTAGTCTTTGAGCAAAAAAACCTGCAATATATAAATTTATTTATTTTTATTTTCTTCTTTATTTTACAGGTCACTAATGTAAAGAATAAAATAATACATAATATAAACTTTTTTGTTAGTATTATTTATTTTTATTTAATTTTACACATCTCAAGCTTGTAAAAATATTTTTAGAAATTTTTTCATTTAATTTTTAAAATCCAAAAATGGTTTGTTTCAAATTTGGACGTTGTACTATTTGCCTACTTCGTTTGCGTCCAGACAATGTTTATACTTTAAAAAATTGCAATCACACATTCCATCGCCAATGTATTACTCGTTGGATTACTGAAGGGGTGAAGGAAGGAATTTATTTTTTAATTTTGTTTTTAACATCTTTCAGGCACAAGAATGCCCTCGATGCCGAGTTCCTGCTACTTTAAATGATATTAAACAACTTTCTGTTGAAGAAGCTGATGACAGTTCTGATGATTCTGGTGATGAGATGACTCAAAGTTCAAGTAATATGAATACAAAAAATCCCCATGTAAGTTAATGAAAAGATTGAGAGTTAATTCACTTTTAGACAATTCACGGAATTTTGTGATTGTTTAAAGTTGTACCTGAATCTACTAATAGAATGCTCTCTAAATAGAATAATTTATGAAAGGATTAAAATAAGAATACGGATGGCGGTTCCTGGGAAATCTCCGTATATCTGGAACCGTTATCCGAACCGAAAATTTCCGGATATCCGAGGTTTTTTCGGTTCCGGATACCCGGAACCGCCAACCTTAAATAAGAATCAATGTGTTTTTTTAGAAGTTTAGGAATATTAAATTGAAAAAATTTTTATATAATATGTATGTAGTAATTTAAAATATTTAATTTAATTGAATTAATTAAATCAGTTAAAATTAATTTAATTAACTTAAAAAATATTTGCAAAAATTTAGACTACTGGGGCGTGTCAGCCGTTATGAAAAATTGCGTCATGGAACGTGTTATGAAATGTTGTTTCTTTGGTTTATCATAAGATTATCTTTAAGTTGATTTGTGTGTAATTAATTTAACATTTTATTGCTTAAATTCAATTATTTTCAATAAAAATTAGTAAATTTTGTTTGAATATTTATCTAGTGTGAATTTTATGAAATGAAATTTTGCATATTTTTGGTTTGCGTGCATAACCCTAAGATCCAAATTTTTTTACGTGCAGTATGCACTCGAACTTCGTCATATTATCGTTTAAGATGAAAACTTGCATTTATAATTGAAAAAATATGCAAAAAGTAGGGAAGATACACTTTCTAGCGCCACAAATCTTTTACATTAACTAAATTAATCATAATTATAAGAAAATTAAGTATGTATCACAATTTACATTTTTAATTTCTTTCAAAAAATTATTTTTCTCATCTTTTCTCTGCTTTTAAAAATGTAAAATTTTGTTTTAGTTCTTCAATTTTATTCTTACATATTGTCGAAAATTATTTATGCAAAAATTCTGTAAAAATTTCTGTTAACATTTACATCAATACTGAGTAGAAAAATAAAAAACGAAGTCTGTAACTTCTTTCCTCATCGAGGTCTGAAATCCCAAAAATCAACGGAAAATCGGAGTACAGTACTCCTTCCCGTCACTGGAACAACACCCATTGTCCCCCGTCATTGGAACAATTTCCTCCATTGTAGGAATAACATTCCTGTCATTTTCCGTCGTTGGATAAGCTTTTGCCGTGATGGCAAAAATCATCTTCTTCTTGAACCAAAATTCAATCAGAATATGATGATCCTTCTTAAAGATCAAGAGCTGAAAATATACTACTATAAAAGCCAGGAATATAATTTTCATATCACTCTTCATTACAAAATCCAATCATCAGAAACCGTTAACAACAAAATCTGTGCAAGGAAGGCCACCAACAATGTGGGTTTCTACCCTCAACAACAACAAATCGAACAAAATGCAAACAATGTTGGCAAACATTGCGGCTCTCTTCATTGTTGTTTTACAATTACTTGGGCAGTTAAACGTCACAGTAGCAAACAATGTTGGCCTAGGAAATCACATTCTGCATGAAGGAAAGGTGAAGCTTGCCGCAGGCTCGAGGGTTGTTACCAATAAAGAAGACTTTGTGAACATGACGATTTCTGCTAATGCTTGCAATGTTAGCTTTGATAAGTGGGGGAATATGTGAGTATGGAAAGTCTGCTTTATCTATTATATCCCTCATTTTTACAGTTATCTACCCTACAAAAATCAAGGGACGGCAAAGGACAAAGGTTGTACGGTGGATCTTCTAACCGATAAGGTGGACGAGATTGTTTTACAATCTGGCTTGCTTAATCGTGTAGGACTTGGTTATTGTTTGAAAGATGAAGGCGTCAATTCAAATGTGTAAGTTTAGATTTTAAGCAATAAAATTTGAACGCTAATCCGATTATTTTGTAGACTACCTTTTGCCTACAGTCTGACAAATGAGGAAGTCGAGAAATTCCACAACGGCCCGCTCTTTGCTAACGGTTCTTGCTATAGTTGTGCGGAGGGTTGTGTCAAAAAGACTGGTCTAGAAGTTAGATGGGCAATGGATGAGGGTCAAGACAGAGGCGGATATGCTGAATATGCTGTGATGAATGTAAATCCAAGTAAAATCTGTCCACAATTAAAGTATCAAATTCGTTGTTTATTTCAGTTGCCACAAAAATGGTTTATTATGTTGGCAAAAAATGGGACATGAGAAACAAATATGTGCAATGGTTATCCGACTTAGTAATCAACAAAACGGATCCTAAATTTCACTTGAAATCTGCAAAAAGAGAGAAAGACACGTTTGCTCAATCATATACTAGTATCTGCCTAAATAACTCTAAAGAAGACATTCTCTCGCCCTCAACATGGGAAATTGTTGGTACGAGTCCAGAGCCAAAAATGAATCGTTTGTTGGTTTTTCATCTTCTTCCACAAACGGCATCGCGGCAGAGGATGTTAGTAAAAAGTAATCGTACTCAGTTACCGGAATATGCTGTGGTAAAAGAACATCCAGAAGGGCCCTTATGCGATGAAATTGTGATTATATTTGTAAGGACCTTTCATTCATTTGCTCTAACATTATCGTTTTTAGCTTGGGAGTAACTACAGATTGTTGGCAACTCCAGACACTTCGACACCTAAAGATCCAACAGATGGAAACACCTCTATAGTATTCAATGTTGGTCTTAGGAATCACACTCTTCAAAACGGAAAAGTGGTACTTGCTAAGGGATCTATAGTTGCCAAAAAAGAAGACGTTGAGCAGTACATGTCGATTTCTGCGGATGCTTGTGATGTTGATTATAATGATGAGGGGAATATGTGAGCTTTAACTGTATATTTATTATATTTCGAATTGTTTCACAGCGTTATCCACTACAAAAATCAAGGGACGACAAAGGATAAGGGGTGTACGGTCGATCTTTTAACAGATAAGAAGGACGAGATTGTTTTCTGGACTGGTATGCAGAATCAAGGAGGGCTTGATGATTGTATGAGAGAGAGTGACATCAATTCGAATGTGTAAGTTTAGATTTTAAGTAGTAAAATTTGAACGCTAATCCGATTATTTTTAGACTACCTTTTGCCTACAGTCAAACAAATGAGGAAGTCAGGAAATTCCACAACGGCCCGCTTTTTGTTAATCCATGCCGATGTAATGAGGGATGCGTCGAAAAGGCAGGGCTAGAAGTTAGATGGGCATATGAGGAAGATCAAGGCAAAGAAAATGTTGGGCTTTATGCAAATCCAAGTAAATATCCGTGTATTAAATATACATACCTAATTTATTTCTTTTAGTTGGTACGAGATTGATTTACTATCTTCGTAAGGAATGGAACTTGAATAAGACGGATGTTTACTTTGATGTCATAATCAATCAAACAGTTCCTAAATTTCGTATCAAACAGTTCCGATATATCACAGTGAATTTGAAAACTGTTCCTCACAATGAATTTTCAAAGAAATACAATACTCAACCATCTAGCTGCAGCAATAACCTCGAACAAAACATTCTCTCTCCCTCAACATGGGAAATTGTTGGTACGAGTCCAGAGCCAAAAATGAATCGTCTGTTGGTTTTTCATCTACTTCCACAAAAAGCATCGCGAAAGAGGGTGTTGTTGGAAAATACTCTTTCTGGAAAACCGGAATATGTTGTGGTAAAAGAACACCCAGAAGGGCCAAAATGCGATGAAATGCTGATCATATTTGTAAGTAGTAATCTCATATTCGATTAATGAAATATCCTCTTCAGTCCAGAGATAACTACAGATTGTTGACTACTCCAACGTCTTCTATCACTTCAACGCCGAAACCAACTCAAGAGGGAAGGAAGAGTTCAGTTAATAAAGAAGATACATCTACAACATCAACTTCTACTACCAATAATGACATAACAACCTCACTGTCTGAGAGCACATCAGAAATTCCTGAAACTTCGACAACTACACCTCCTTTGACACCTGCACCTTCTTCGAAAAAAAGGACAACTACAATAACATTTACTTCAACAACAATGACTACTACTACCAAAAAAGGCTCTTCAGGATTAGTGTTTTTTGTTGTGATTATCGTTGTTATTCTGATTGTTATCGGCATTGGAATTGCTGCTTACTTCTTCGTCATTATGGAGAGCTTTGACAAGGAGGAGAATGATGCTGAGGCAGGTGATGGGACTAAGGAAGATGTCACAGGAGAAGTTCAAAACAAGGATAATGTCACAGGAGAAGATCAAAAGAAGGAAGATACAGAAGAAGAAAATCTCAAGGAAGATAATCAAGGAGAGGATGAAGGCTCTAAAGACGATAATAAAGCAAAAGAGAAGATTGAGGCGACTACAAAGACAGCTGCACCAACAACTGAAAGCCAAACTAAAGAAGAACAGGCGAGTGCCGAAGATAAGAATAAAGAAGAGGGAGAGGAAAAGAAAGTCGAAACTCAAGAAGATGAGTGAGATTAATAAGAAAGAAGAGATGATATAATGTCTAAAATGTAATTATAGTATGTATGTATATAAGGTTATCAATATGTGTATAATAATCAGAGAGTTTTCTTTAGATTATTACCTATTTTTTTTCAACTACTAGTTTATGCGATTACTAGTTTTCATCATTACTATTTGTAAAAATTTGTACTTTTTTGCCATTTTCGAACAGGAGGCCATTCAATTAAAAATCGTTTAACTCGGGATTGGGGTTTTCAAATACCAAATTTTGGAGATATTATTAAATCAAATTAGAAATTTGCCTATATTAAAAGTTTTTGGAATTATTCAAATGAGTTTACAAAATTCAAAGTTTTGTGAATTTTAAACCTGCACAAAAGTAGTGGTTGGACTTCTGAACATGTGATTAACTAAAATTCTTTCTATTGAATTTGCCCCGTCATTTGTCTTGCCCCCGTCAAAAGTTTCATTTATGGTGAAAAGACCCATGGAAAAAGTCGGCGTTCGTGTCCGTTTTGAGTTTCGGGTCGGGTTTATAGTAACCCAACCCATCACTGGGCGATATATTGCTCCTTGAACTCCAAAATGCTTAAATATTTGCTGCGGCGCAGAAAATACAGTATTATCTCTAATAGAATTGCCGGCCATTCTATTTTTCAATTATCTTCCAGAGGGCCATTTAATTAGATGGTTTCTAATTTAAAAAATAATATGCTGAACGATCAATTGATAAAAGAATTTAAATGGCATACATATTTTTTTATTTATCGACATTAAAATTACATATAATAAATTTAAAAAGTTAATAATAAAATAAAAGAAATTCTAATTAAAAAATTTATTTTCCATTAAATTATGACTGTTTTGAACATCAGTTTGACAAGAGATTTATAATCATTTTGTTTGGAAAAATTTTTAATTTGCACTGAAACTAAATACTCAAAATTATTTTAATCATATTTTATTGATATTAATTCATCATCATCCTCATCCATGTTATCAACCTTAAAGAATACGTACTAAATATATATAATTTTATTCGGAACTATTATATTAGTTGTTACCTACACTTAATTTTGGTCTCGTACTCAAAGTTAACATTACCATAATTTTCTGCTCATACGCTAATAATGTACATACAACTCGGCCTAACTGCACTTTAGTAAAGTGATCTAAAAATAGATGATTTATATGTCATTCGAAAGAGCTCGGCGAGCTGAGTCGAATGACGCCAAAATTTTTCCGCGGAAAAAATTCTGTGCCGAGATATAGGGCTCGAAATGGTCAAAAACCATAGGGGGGAGTAAGCACATTTTTGGGGTGAAAAATTCGATTTTACAAATAATAGCTCATTCGAAAGTACTCATCGAGCTGAGTCGAATGACACCAAAATGAGCTCGATTGGATAATTCTGAACAAAGTTATGACTAACAGAATCTTCGCTGGAAAAACTGTTTTTGTGCTGCTACGGAGGGTAGGCCGGGCATGGTCTTCGCTACACGATGGCCGTGCTTCGCTGCGGTCGTGCTCGCTTCGCTCGCGGCGACCGTAGCGAAGCGGCGGCCGTCGTTCCGCTCGACATGCCCGGCTTCCTCCGCAGCGGCAAAAACTTTTTTCCGCGGAGGCCTTATGTGAGGGGTAAAACAAACGGTCATAACTTTGTCAAATGACGTCTGATTTCGTTGATTTTGGTGTCATTCGACTCAGCTCGACGAGCTGGTTCGAATGAGCTATTATTTGCATATTCGAAGTTTTCACCCCCAGAAAACAGCTTGGTCCCCCCTATGGTTTTTTGAACTTTAGGGGTCTGTATCTCGGCTCAGACTTTTTTCCGCGGAAAAATTTTGACGTCATTCGACTCAGCTCGTCGAGCTCTTTCGAATGACATATAAATCATCTATTTTTAGATCACTTTACTAAAGTGCAGTTTAGCCTACAACTCTTATTGTTGTCCTAGTACCATTGAATTGGCATTGTCAATAAGCAAAAAATATAATTTTTCTGAGTTTCTGCTACTTAAGACATTAGTTTAAGTAATATCAGTCTTGATTTTCATTATCTATTTTTGCCATGAGTTTTTGAATTTTCATCTCGTAAGTTTATAAAAATACTATATCTCACTTGGATATATTGTGATAATGATATAGGTATATCCAAAACAACATGATTTTCAAATACATCTTCTTTTGTTTCTAATATGTACCAAAGTGAAGAATTTTTAAAAGTTAAAGATAATTTTATCCGTTCATTTTCCTTTAAACTTTGATGGTTAGAACATAAATTAGTTACTTTCTTTTTTAATTTAATCCAGACTCCATTCTTTTAAATTTATTTAATTAAAATTAATTTTAAATTTAACTACCGTATATGAATCTACACATACAGATTTTCTTGTAATGTTCATTTGAAAAACTGTGTTGCCTACTAAATGAAAGGATTAAAATTTTAGAGATATTATATATCGTAGATTAAAATTAAAGTTAGAATTTTAAAATTAAATAAGTTTAAAAATATTTATTTTAGAAAAAATTATGTATTTTTAATGATAGTTTTTAATGAATACTGCAAAAGGCACCTAAAGTAGTCAACAAAATGAATACGAAAATAGTTTTTCCTAAATATTCCCAACTCTAATATAGAGCTTTGTTCTAGAAAGATTTCCTGAAAGAATGCGTCGGTTTACCTGAAACCCAGTCTTTTCCAACCGAAACCTGATCCGTGAAATTTCCCAAAACTGGAAATTTATCAATAGATAAATTGTTTAACGTTTCTCCATTTTTAATAATTTTAAAAAATTAAAGTTAGAATTTTAAAATTAAAATAAAAGTTTAAAAATATTTATTTTAGAAAAAATTGTCCATAGCATTTCTCAATCATAGATCCCCATTAAGTAATCAGATATAGGGCTATGGTCATTTATATACTTATGTATTTTAATGATAGTCGTGATACCGTTATACAAAGATCTGAGAAAGAAAATGATTAAATTATTTAAAACCAAACATGTTTCATTCCATTTAATAGCCGCATGAAGAAAATTAATGGTAATATTTTCTCTGAATATATCTGGTGTTTTTCCTCTAATAATAACTTCGCTTCTACTATTCAATTGTTTTTCTATTCTCTTAGTTTTTGCATCTAATTTAGCTTCTGAAATATTGGATGTTAGCTTTTGACATTTATCAGACATTTCATTAAATAATACATTATATATATAGCCAGATACCTATAAAATGAATTATTAAATGAATTAATAAGTCCCTTAAGACGTCGATGTAGTTCATTTACGAGGGACAAGATTGGAAGATTCACATATTAAAAAATTAAGGGCATTTGAATCTGTATAAATGTTTCAAACTAAATTGTATAAAATTTTCTCCCTGGACAAAGTCATAGCCATTTAATAGGTATTAATCATAGCCATTTAATAACTCTATGTGTTTTAATAAAAAATAGGTATACCTCAACACGATTTATTGACCAATGAGGATATGCATTTTGATAATAGAAGAGGTTATCACCTTCGTTAATGTTGATTATGTAAAGACCCTCTGAAGCTATAATTCTCATAACTATAGGCATACCAGGTCCAATTGGATTTTTATAATGTTTTTCATTTAGCAAAACGTTCTTAGGGCTATAGCTTTTTATAACTATTTGCGTGTGACATAAAGAAAGATGTCCCTCATTTTTCCCTATATTTATGTCAGGCTCAAAGTTTAACTCTAGTTGCATCACAAGGCCAACACCTGTTTAAAAGAATGTTAAATAGTTTGGTTAAAACTCTTACCAAGATTATTAGCAATTTGGGGATCATGAACTAATTGTACAAAAAAAGAAGAGGGATTATAATTCATCTCTTTACCACTCGGTATCCGAGCCTCAAAACACACGATTGTTCCATTTATTTTCAAGTCATTAATCGCTTTTCGGTCACGCCGATATGGTACACTTTGATCATGACCACGGGTATAACTACGATCCAAAAGCTGTATATCACCGTTTACCTAAAATACTATATGTTTATTAAAATGATAGCCCCTCCGCATTTCATAGAGCGGAGATATAAACGGAAGGTCTAAATCCTTCCAATAGAAAGGTGAAAGAAGAGAAAATTTTGTTCATAATCAAAATTAAATTTGTTATTATGATCATATCAAAGCCTCAAAACATCGGTTCGGAAGAACTCTAATCATTATTGTAATTGTATTCCTTAACATTTTCGAATTCAGGACTTAAGACAAGTGGCGTTAGCTTATCAGTGAATTTTGAACAGTTAAGAATTAATCTAATATAACTAGATAAATTCTAAACGATCCAACTTTGAAACTAAAAGTGAATTTTTAAAAACTTTAAAATAACCAAAATTCTATTAATTGTCCAGATTTGAAAATAATTTTCTATTTTAAATTCTTCTTTAAGTTCATTATTAATAGATGTTTCGATTAATGATGTATGAACAGTTGTTAGTTTATTATTTATAATTCGTTCGTTTATTACATCACTAACATGTAAAAAAAGATCGAATAATTCTTCCTTTTTAAATATTCTTCTTGAAAACTTTTTGCATCTAAATTTAGCACATTCTTCATTATTAAATCCCTTCTCTTTAATACATCGATTATAATAATTATCACACTTAAATTTATCTATTTAATCTTCGAAAGTACACACTCGTTATTAAAAGAATCTTAGGCAGTTTTGGTTCGGGAACTTGTCATATTTGATAATTATAATAAGTTTCCCCCTTTTTTAAATATTATATAAAATTTCCATAATAGTACATATTTACTTACTAGTAAAAATTTAGTAAATTTTTGTTTGAATATTTATTTTGTTTGAATATTTATCTAGTGTGAATTTTATGAAATGAAATTTTGCATATTTTTGGTTTGCGTGCATAACCCTAAGATCCAAATTTTTTTACGTGCAGTATGCACTCGAACTTCGTCATATTAGCGTTTAAGATGAAAACTTGCATTTATAATTGAAAAAATATGCAAAAAGTAGGGAAGATACACTTTCTAGCGCCACAAATCTTTTACATTAACTAAATTAATCATAATTATAAGAAAATTAAGTATGTATCACAATTTACATTTTTAATTTCTTTCAAAAAATTATTTTTCTCATCTTTTCTCTGCTTTTAAAAATGTAAAATTTTGTTTTAGTTCTTCAATTTTATTCTTACATATTGTCGAAAATTATTTATGCAAAAAATTTGTAAAAATTTCTGTTAACATTTACATCAATACTGAGTAGAAAAATAAAAAACGAAGTCTGTAACTTCTTTCCTCATCGAGGTCTGAAATCCCAAAAAACAACGGAAAATCGGAGTACAGTACTCCTTCCCGTCACTGGAACAACACCCATTGTCCCCCGTAATCATGGTCTTCGCTACACGATGGCCGTGCTTCGCTGCGGTCGTGCTCGCTTCGCTCGCGGCGACCGTAGCGAAGCGGCGGCCGTCGTTCCGCTCGACATGCCCGGCTTCCTCCGCAGCGGCAAAAACTTTTTTCCGCGGAGGCCTTATGTGAGGGGTAAAACAAACGGTCATAACTTTGTCAAATGACGTCTGATTTCGTTGATTTTGGTGTCATTCGACTCAGCTCGACGAGCTGGTTCGAATGAGCTATTATTTGCATATTCGAAGTTTTCACCCCCAGAAAACAGCTTGGTCCCCCCTATGGTTTTTTGAACTTTAGGGGTCTGTATCTCGGCTCAGACTTTTTTCCGCGGAAAAATTTTGACGTCATTCGACTCAGCTCGTCGAGCTCTTTCGAATGACATATAAATCATCTATTTTTAGATCACTTTACTAAAGTGCAGTTTAGCCTACAACTCTTATTGTTGTCCTAGTACCATTGAATTGGCATTGTCAATAAGCAAAAAATATAATTTTTCTGAGTTTCTGCTACTTAAGACATTAGTTTAAGTAATATCAGTCTTGATTTTCATTATCTATTTTTGCCATGAGTTTTTGAATTTTCATCTCGTAAGTTTATAAAAATACTATATCTCACTTGGATATATTGTGATAATGATATAGGTATATCCAAAACAACATGATTTTCAAATACATCTTCTTTTGTTTCTAATATGTACCAAAGTGAAGAATTTTTAAAAGTTAAAGATAATTTTATCCGTTCATTTTCCTTTAAACTTTGATGGTTAGAACATAAATTAGTTACTTTCTTTTTTAATTTAATCCAGACTCCATTCTTTTAAATTTATTTAATTAAAATTAATTTTAAATTTAACTACCGTATATGAATCTACACATACAGATTTTCTTGTAATGTTCATTTGAAAAACTGTGTTGCCTACTAAATGAAAGGATTAAAATTTTAGAGATATTATATATCGTAGATTAAAATTAAAGTTAGAATTTTAAAATTAAATAAGTTTAAAAATATTTATTTTAGAAAAAATTATGTATTTTTAATGATAGTTTTTAATGAATACTGCAAAAGGCACCTAAAGTAGTCAACAAAATGAATACGAAAATAGTTTTTCCTAAATATTCCCAACTCTAATATAGAGCTTTGTTCTAGAAAGATTTCCTGAAAGAATGCGTCGGTTTACCTGAAACCCAGTCTTTTCCAACCGAAACCTGATCCGTGAAATTTCCCAAAACTGGAAATTTATCAATAGATAAATTGTTTAACGTTTCTCCATTTTTAATAATTTTAAAAAATTAAAGTTAGAATTTTAAAATTAAAATAAAAGTTTAAAAATATTTATTTTAGAAAAAATTGTCCATAGCATTTCTCAATCATAGATCCCCATTAAGTAATCAGATATAGGGCTATGGTCATTTATATACTTATGTATTTTAATGATAGTCGTGATACCGTTATACAAAGATCTGAGAAAGAAAATGATTAAATTATTTAAAACCAAACATGTTTCATTCCATTTAATAGCCGCATGAAGAAAATTAATGGTAATATTTTCTCTGAATATATCTGGTGTTTTTCCTCTAATAATAACTTCGCTTCTACTATTCAATTGTTTTTCTATTCTCTTAGTTTTTGCATCTAATTTAGCTTCTGAAATATTGGATGTTAGCTTTTGACATTTATCAGACATTTCATTAAATAATACATTATATATATAGCCAGATACCTATAAAATGAATTATTAAATGAATTAATAAGTCCCTTAAGACGTCGATGTAGTTCATTTACGAGGGACAAGATTGGAAGATTCACATATTAAAAAATTAAGGGCATTTGAATCTGTATAAATGTTTCAAACTAAATTGTATAAAATTTTCTCCCTGGACAAAGTCATAGCCATTTAATAGGTATTAATCATAGCCATTTAATAACTCTATGTGTTTTAATAAAAAATAGGTATACCTCAACACGATTTATTGACCAATGAGGATATGCATTTTGATAATAGAAGAGGTTATCACCTTCGTTAATGTTGATTATGTAAAGACCCTCTGAAGCTATAATTCTCATAACTATAGGCATACCAGGTCCAATTGGATTTTTATAATGTTTTTCATTTAGCAAAACGTTCTTAGGGCTATAGCTTTTTATAACTATTTGCGTGTGACATAAAGAAAGATGTCCCTCATTTTTCCCTATATTTATGTCAGGCTCAAAGTTTAACTCTAGTTGCATCACAAGGCCAACACCTGTTTAAAAGAATGTTAAATAGTTTGGTTAAAACTCTTACCAAGATTATTAGCAATTTGGGGATCATGAACTAATTGTACAAAAAAAGAAGAGGGATTATAATTCATCTCTTTACCACTCGGTATCCGAGCCTCAAAACACACGATTGTTCCATTTATTTTCAAGTCATTAATCGCTTTTCGGTCACGCCGATATGGTACACTTTGATCATGACCACGGGTATAACTACGATCCAAAAGCTGTATATCACCGTTTACCTAAAATACTATATGTTTATTAAAATGATAGCCCCTCCGCATTTCATAGAGCGGAGATATAAACGGAAGGTCTAAATCCTTCCAATAGAAAGGTGAAAGAAGAGAAAATTTTGTTCATAATCAAAATTAAATTTGTTATTATGATCATATCAAAGCCTCAAAACATCGGTTCGGAAGAACTCTAATCATTATTGTAATTGTATTCCTTAACATTTTCGAATTCAGGACTTAAGACAAGTGGCGTTAGCTTATCAGTGAATTTTGAACAGTTAAGAATTAATCTAATATAACTAGATAAATTCTAAACGATCCAACTTTGAAACTAAAAGTGAATTTTTAAAAACTTTAAAATAACCAAAATTCTATTAATTGTCCAGATTTGAAAATAATTTTCTATTTTAAATTCTTCTTTAAGTTCATTATTAATAGATGTTTCGATTAATGATGTATGAACAGTTGTTAGTTTATTATTTATAATTCGTTCGTTTATTACATCACTAACATGTAAAAAAAGATCGAATAATTCTTCCTTTTTAAATATTCTTCTTGAAAACTTTTTGCATCTAAATTTAGCACATTCTTCATTATTAAATCCCTTCTCTTTAATACATCGATTATAATAATTATCACACTTAAATTTATCTATTTAATCTTCGAAAGTACACACTCGTTATTAAAAGAATCTTAGGCAGTTTTGGTTCGGGAACTTGTCATATTTGATAATTATAATAAGTTTCCCCCTTTTTTAAATATTATATAAAATTTCCATAATAGTACATATTTACTTACATTTCCTGTTTTAATTGCTATTTTTGTTAAATTATCGAAAACCTCAAAACTATAAACAACTGTTCCAACTTAAAATAATATTAAATTTCAAATGAATATTTTTAAAAATTACTGTAACGATTTTCTTCAATGCCATTAAATAATTTAATACTAAATTTCCTTGCATTATTGCTTATTTTTAAATAAAAATGATAAGATATTCCCTTGCTAATAGGCTCGCTTAACTTGTGTGAATATGGCATTTTAATCATTTTAAACATTTCATTGTAATACTAAATGTAATTGAATTAATGTTGAGATAAAAATAAGACTACTGAGTAGGGTTGTCGGTTTCAAACCGAACCGAACCGAAAAACCGAAGATTTTCGGTTCGGTTTGTCGGTTCGGTTTCGATTAACCGATGAATCTTGTGAAATCGACAACCATACTACTAATATAAAAATATGTGGCTATGGTCTAGTTTAGTAGTCAACTGAAAGTTTATTAGCCCATTCAAAGTATATGAGTCCAATGAAGGTTTATGAGTCCAATGAAATTTTTGAGTCCTGTTGGGAAGATAGACATTTAAATATAAATGACAATTTATACATTGGCATTTTGTTATTTTATTTTCCCGCCTATTTTCCACTCCTCATTTCCCTCTATTTAAGTTGTTCCCAAATACCCCATTTCTGTTCACTTAGTTGTTCAGTTCTCTGTTCACTCGCATTTTAATTTATTCAGCGCTTTTATTCTTCCACCTTATTTATATTTATTTGACTTAATAAATATTTTTGACTGTTTGTCAAAGTTTCTTTTGTTGTAACGAGTACACAACAAAATTGGCGCGGTCGACATACTTAATTTGACCGAAGTATTTTATTGAAATTCTACTTTATTTATTCGACCTCATTCGACTACTTATTTGGAATTTCATTTTATTTATTCTGGTCGACTCCTTAATTATCGACAAATTTTGCTTCGTCAAATTTAAAATTTATTTTGCTTGTTCGACTCGACATATTTGGAATTTTTATTGGCGCAACCCGACTCGGCCAATCAATTAAATTTACTTACCTTGGTGGTAGTAAATTTTCAACAAATCAGACACAAAAAAAAATTGTTGGCCTAGGCGGCTTATACAATTTCTCCGAGACGGAGTTTTTCTCAAATCTTCAAAAAAATTGTTAACCTAGGCGGTTTAGACAGTTTCTCCGAGACGGAGTTTTTCTCAACTCATCGAAAAAAAAAAAAATTGTTAGCTTTGTAAGCAAAAACAATCTCCTTGGTGGAGTTTTTAAAATCAATAAATAAAAATGGACGCCAAGCAATTACAACAAGTTTTGGAAGCCGTCCTCAAGCAACAAGCCCAGACCACCTCTACAGCTAACAATGCGACACTAGCTTCTGCTTTAAGTGGACGCATCACCACATTCAATTATGATCCTGAAAACGGATCGACATTTGAAAGCTGGTTCAAAAGGTTTGGTACCTTAATAAATGATGATGGGAAAGACCTCCCAGATGCTTCTAAGGTTAGGCTGTTGGTAGGAAAATTGGGAGAAGAAGAATACGCCAAATACAGCAACAGCGTAGCTCCCGACACACCGGACATCATTACGTTCAATGATACGGTCAAGAATCTGAAACTTCTTTTTGCCGATACACGTTCATTATTCGTAAGACGCTTTGAGTGTCTTAAGATCAAACAGCAACCAAACCAAGACATCGACTCATTGATTGGACAGATTAATGCAGCATGCGAAAATGCTCAAATGGCACTCACTAAGGAAGACCTTAAGTGCCTGATTTTCATCATCTCTTTGCGTGATGATGCTCACGACATTCGGCAGAAATGTCTCCAAATTCTGGAAGATGCCAGAATCAAGAAAAGGTCCATCAATTTGAAAGAATTAGCGGAAGAATGTAGAGCTTATCAGCTAGTCAAAGAAAGCGCTTTGTCACTAAACAATCCACGAGCCGACACTAATGCCATCCATGCTAAGCCACAGCATTTGAAAGATAAAGGAGGCAAACAAAACCAAAAGTTTGTACGGCACTTTGCTAAGGCAGAACCAAAGCTAACACAAACTTCAAATTCTCGTGGAAAACCTACACATGCTTGCGCATCTTGCGGCCGAACCGATCATTGGCGCAACGATTGCCGATTCAAAGATGTGACTTGCAACAAGTGCAAGAAGAAAGGTCACATAGCTAAGGTTTGTCGAAGCACATACGCTGCTAATTCAATCAGTATTGTGCAAAAACCTGTCAAAAGCTTCTTCACCATCAGCAACCAAGGTGAATGGTGGAAAGTAAATGTTAACATTAATGGATCATCACATCGTATGAATGTTGACACTGGCGCTCAAGCCACCTTAATCACGACACAATTATGGAATAAGCTTGGAAAACCCCAATTGTTTTCCGCCGACATTGAAACCATGAACTGCAATGGACAATCATTTGCGACCGAAGGCAAATTCGATTGCATGGTTTCTTACAAGAATAGCACACCTATTGAATTAACTGCCTATGTTAGTCAAGCAGTTAAACACGATCTGATGGGTATTCCATGGATTAAAGATCTGGAAGTAATCCCAAAAGAGATCATGAAGCCCTTTCACCTTCAATCAATTTCTGCAAATTTACCAATCACCGATAAGAATTCACTAATCAATTCACTGCAAACAAACTTCTCAGATGTTTTCGGCAAAGAACTTGGCCATGTTAAGAAGTTTAAAGCTCACTTGTACCTCAAGCAAGGAGTCACGCCAACATTTTGTAAAGCAAGACCAGTTCCATATGGTGCTTTGCCTGCAGTTAATGCTGAACTCGATCGATTAGTGGAAATCGGAGCAATAAAGCCAATCAACTTTAGTCATTGGGCAGCTCCAGTTCTAGCCGTCAAGAAGAAAAATGGCAAAACACGAATTTGCATTGATTTTTCTACTGGCTTGAACAATGCATTGGAATTGAACAGGCATCCATTACCTCGTCCTGAAGATATTTATATGGCATTAAACGGTGCCAAATTCTTCTCGCGTCTTGACTTACGCGATGCTTATCTTCAGATGGAACTCGATGAGGAATCCAAGAAATTATGTGCTATTAACACACACAGAGGCTTATTTCAATGCCAACGACTTCCATTTGGAGTGAAGTCGGCACCTTCAATTTTCCAGCATTTAATCGATCAACTGATTTCTGGAATTTCAGGAGTTTTTGGTTATCTGGATGATATTGTCATCGCATCGAAAACATTCAAAGACCATACAAGAACTCTGAAATTACTGCTGAAAAGAATTCAAGATTATGGATTAAAATTGCAACTGGAAAAATGCGATTTTCTGCAAGAAAAGCTGTTATTTCTCGGTCATGTCGTTTCACCAGAAGGCATCAAACCGGACCCAGGTCGATCTGAGGCCATCCGAAACATGCCAGCACCACACGACAAAAGCACACTTCGTTCATTTTTAGGAGCTCTAACCTACTATGGAAGGTTTATCAAGAAAATGCGTGAAATCAGATCACCTCTTGACGAGCTGCTTAAAAAGGACAATGAATGGAAGTGGACCGAAACCCACCAAAAAGCATTTGAAAGAGCAAAGGAAATAATGCTTTCTGATTTATTGCTGACCCACTACGATCCCAAACTGCCAATAATCGTAGCAGCAGATGCTTCAAAAGATGGAATTGGAGCAACCATCAGTCATGTTTTTCCTGACAAATCGGAAAAAGTCATCGAACATGCATCATGCACTCTTACAGCAGCTCAACGGAATTACAGCCAAATAGAAAAGGAGGCTCTCGCCCTCGTATTTGCTGTTCAGAAATTCCACCGCATGCTTTATGGTCGAAAATTCACACTTCAAACCGACCACAAACCGCTCATTGCAATATTCGGATCTAAGAATGGGATCCCAATTTATTCTGCAAGCCGATTGCAACGATGGGCACTAATCCTCACCAATTATGATTTTGATATTCAGTATATCAACACCAAATCATTTGGAAATGCAGATGTTTTGTCACGACTAATCGACGAGTACCCAAGACCAACAGAAGACATTTTAATTGCTAACATCAGCACCGACACTGAATGTTACATAAATTCTATTTTTAATTCTGTTCTTGAACCACTCCCAGTCATGGCAACTGAAATTGCTGAAGAAACCGGCAAGGACCAAGTCTTGTCAGCGGTTAAGAAATGCTTAGACCAAGGTTGGCCACGCAAGAATGAAGACCAGCAGCTTGCAGCATTTCACCCGAAAAGAGATGCAATTTCTGAAATTGAAGGATGTTTGATTTATGGTCAACGAATGATCATTCCAAAATCATTGCAATCCCGCATCCTCAAAACTCTCCACATTGCACACCCAGGAATTGTGCGAATGAAGGCAATAGCAAAGGAACATGTCTATTGGCCCGGAATTGGAAAAGAAATTGAAAAGCTTGTTCATCAATGTGAACAATGCCAAGGAGCTTCCAAAAACCCAGCAAAAACATTGTTGACACCCTGGCTTGCTCCAAACGAAGTATTTGAAAGAGTTCATGTAGACTTCGCCGGCCCCTGCTCAGACGGATACACTTATTTGCTATTCGTTGACTCATTTTCGAAATGGCCAGAAGTTTGTAAAATGCATCCTATCACGGCTAAAGATACAGTTGAAGTTCTGCAATCAATTGTATATCGCCTCGGAATTCCCAAAGAAATTGTTTCTGACAATGGACGTCAATTTCGATCCAATGAATTCGCTACATTCTGCAAAGAATTTGGAATCAAGCACACTTTTACACCTCCATACCATCCCATGTCCAACGGACAGGTTGAAAGATTTGTTGACACTTTCAAAAGGTCAATGAAAAAGTGTGGCCAAAAGAAGAATTGGATTGAAGAAACATTATTGGCTTATCGAACTACACCTCATGCTTCACTTAATGGTCACTCTCCAGATGAATTGTTTCTAGGTCGCCACATGCGCACCAAGATAAATCTTGTTCACCCCGAAGGACAGAAGATTTCATCAAACATTGATAAGGAAAAGTTCAAGAAATTTCAGCAGGCGCACCAACAGAAAATGTCAAGACAATTCAACACCAAGCATGGCTCTAAATTAAGCAAATTTAGGCCAGGAGAACCAGTTTACCTTCTCAATTACCGCCTGAACAAAACGGAATGGCTCAGCGGGACCATAATTGAGCAAGTGAAGAATTCACCGACTTATAGAGTGAAAGTCCCTGCTATCGGACGAGACGTCCACCGGCATGTAAATCAATTGAGGAAACGACACCCAATTGAAATGGACACTCCGAAAGATGTAGGAACGACTCCTGATCGTCGAACACCAGCTAGGACACCTGAACTGATTCGTCAAATTTCTCCACGGCACGAAAGCCCGAAAAATTTGAGTCCTAAAGGAAGACCACAGCGAACCCGAAGACCGATCAATCGCCTTGACCCTGATCCTGACAAGAAGCGATATTAAGAACACCGAAGGGAAGCTTTATCTTAAGAAGGGAGATGTTGGGAAGATAGACATTTAAATATAAATGACAATTTATACATTGGCATTTTGTTATTTTATTTTCCCGCCTATTTTCCACTCCTCATTTCCCTCTATTTAAGTTGTTCCCAAATACCCCATTTCTGTTCACTTAGTTGTTCAGTTCTCTGTTCACTCGCATTTTAATTTATTCAGCGCTTTTATTCTTCCACCTTATTTATATTTATTTGACTTAATAAATATTTTTGACTGTTTGTCAAAGTTTCTTTTGTTGTAACGAGTACACAACAAGTCCCATAAAAGTTTATTAATCCAGGCAAAATTGTCAATGAAATTTTATGAGTCCAAACAAGATTTATGAAATAGAAATTAAAATATTTCCGTATCACTCATTTTATATTTTAATTTTTGAGCTATTAGTTGGTGCAGGCTTTAATATCAAATGTTATATCATTTGAAGAAGCTACTCGAGCTGAGTCAAATGTTACCAAAATTAGCCCTAGGCCTTTATTTATTTTAAAATAAAAGAAAAGGGATTATTCAATTCTCCGCTTATAGCCTGTGTTTTTGTTATGAAGTTCAACTTTAAAAATGAGAAGATCTGAAAACTAAATTCAATTATGGGGTGGAAAATATGGATATGCAAACGTTTTTTTCTGTAATCTCGATTCTCGTACTCCCAGTCCGGTCTCTAATTTAAACTGGCAATTTCTTATATAAATTTTTTGATGTTTTTAAGAATATAATTTAAATGGGAGTAAATGTTTCAAAAAATTTTCTTTAATTAAATCCTAATAATTTTACTCAACAGCCATTTATTCTATAGAATATTGTCAGAAAGAGGAAGAAAATTTTAAAAACTTACACCCAAATCTCGTTCATTAATCACTTTAATAACTATAGGGGTAACTAAAACAAAATCACCACTAATTGACATGTTGATTTTGGATTCATTCAAAAATTTTCCGTTCCACCAATCATTTGGCCATATTTGTCTGATGAATTTTACAAAAACGTTACTTTCAAATAATATCCAAACAAAATAATTGCTTATTCGTATAGTTAATTCTATTTGTGCTCCAAAAGTAAATAAATTGTTAGAGATTCGTTTTATATCTGGCCTTGGTAATATTTTACGCTAAAATGGGGGATTTTAAAAACAAAATTTAGGTTAAGGAAGATTAATTTAATTTATTTATTTATGTATTTTAATTCGAATATCTACATCACTAATGAAAATAAGCTAACTCAAAAGTTGGATTTTATAAGTGCTTGACCTCTTATTTTCAGATTCCCGCCTATTCATTGGGCAGGCGGAAATTTGAAAATATAATGTGCCGAAGCCCGGTCGCTTTTTCTACTTGAACCCCGACCCGAGAAATTTTTGAAAACCCTATATTTTCCATGGAAATTTTTTACAAAAAGAAGAAATTTGTCTTATTGGTTCATCAATTCGTCAATTCATCGGTTCGTCTATATTATACCTGAATATTTCGCTGAATAGTTTTAAAAATACATTTAATATTATACATATAATATTTGCGATCTAATGGAAAAATAAAGCTTACCATAAAAGGATAAAGAAATATTTCGCTGCCATTAAAATTTATTTTTAGAAAAATATCTGTAGAATTAGAAAATGCAATTGAGCCATGACTTCCATTTTTACTTGCCCATATTGAAAATTTAACTATTTTCTCTCCATCCTTTAGATTTCCCAATTCGTAATTTGTATTATTAGAATATTTTGCTGAACAATCTTTGTAAATCAGCAACCCTGGTGTAATTTTTGGCTTTAATGATTCTGGTATTGTTGGGGGTTTGAACTAAATATATTATAAATCAGTTTAATAACAACAGAAAATATAAATTCCCATTTAGGAAAT